ATAACACAGAGAAGGGATCGATGATATTTCGACCAATCTGTCAACTGTGTCGGTCCGACGGTTTCTTCAAAGAGCTTCCGCCCCGGCTCTCCCGTTGCGGGAGAGACGCTCCGAACGAGAAACACACAACTCTATCTTTGTGCCGTAGCCTTCCCTGGCGGGAGGCGGCGGTCCGCGCGCGTCCTCGGACGCGCGCGGACAGGCTGATCGAAGAGCCACCACGATTATTCTCTCTCTCTCGTCCGAGAGAAGAGACCACGATGGTTGAACGAGAAGCGCGTTTCTTCGCGAACGCAAAAATTTCGAACGATTACCCTGAACGGTGGATCACTTGGCTCGTGGGTCGATGAAGAACGCAGCTAATTGCGCGTCAACTTGTGAACTGCAGGACACATGAACATCGACATTTCGAACGCACATTGCGGTCCACGGATACAATTCCCGGACCACGCCTGGCTGAGGGTCGTTTTAGTACCCCTAAACTGCTTGCGTCCGAAAAGCGCGCACGGCCACGACGCGGGCGACCAGAGAATGGCGCGCGCGTCGCCTGTGCCCTGTGCAACGCTTACAATGGGCGTACGAGCGATCGTTGGACGTTCGCCCGAGGTGTCTGTGCCGCGCCGACCGGCCGCGGTGCAAATCCTGGCGTCGTCTGAAATGACACACCGAAATAATAATAATGAGGAGGAGAAGCGCACAAGCGTGTAAAACGTTGGCGAACGCGCGCCCAGAGAATGCTGCGCGAATTAAGAGGGGGAGCGTGTTTGTGTATCCAAGTCGTGTGTGTACGCGAGAGCCGAGGAGAAATGGGATGAGAGTAAGAGCGCGCGCGAAGGGAGCAACAAACGGCCAAAAAAGGGTCAGGACGGTGAATGGCACCGCTTTCCCTAGAGCGGCGCGTGCGTCGTTGTCTCCCGAAAGTAGGTAGCGCTTGTCTCACCGTCTCTCCTCTCCGTACATCACACAGACTGACCGGACTGCTCTCGCACTCTGTGCCGCGTCTCTCGGTGCGATAGCGCTCGCGCGTCTTATGCCGAGGCGCCCTTGCCCGCACACATAACGGTATTACGGAGAAATATACGGCGCGTCGTCGTCCGGCGGAGAGAGCATTCGTAATCCTTTACCTCTTTACGGAGAAGGGTTTTGAATCGCGAGCCGACCGCGTGTCCGAGTCCACGAAATTTTCGTAAAGCGAAAAAAGGGGACCGGCGCGCCGCGTCGTGTACTCGTCGAATCGATTCCGCCCGAATTTCGTATATAAAAGAGAAGGGAGAGCCGAGAATCTCGAACCCCGCGATATATCGTCTCCATTACCACCAACGAGTGTGTGTGCGGTTAGCGCCCCGGCGATTTGCCTTCTCGCGTATTTCGTGTGCTGCCGCTGCTGCTCTCTCGTTCGACGCTCTCTCTCTCTCCCTCTTATAATATATATTATAGAGGAGAGACGACGATGAGCGACGCGGAGGAGGCAAACGGCTACGAAAACTCACTATGCGACGACCTCAGAGCAGGCGAGATTACCCGCTGAATTTAAGCATATTATTAAGCGGAGGAAAAGAAACTAACCAGGATTTCCTTAGTAGCGGCGAGCGAACAGGAAAGAGCCCAGCACCGAATCCCGCGGTTCCGCCGCAGGGAAATGTGGTGTTTGGGAGGATCCGCTTATCCCGAGGTGCCGCGTCGCGTCCAAGTCCATCTTGAATGGGGCCACTTACCCGTAGAGGGTGCCAGGCCCGTAGCGACCGGTGCGCGCCTCGGGAGGATCTCTCCTTAGAGTCGGGTTGCTTGAGAGTGCAGCTCTAAGTGGGTGGTAAACTCCATCTAAGGCTAAATACGACCACGAGACCGATAGCGAACAAGTACCGTGAGGGAAAGTTGAAAAGAACTTTGAAGAGAGAGTTCAAGAGTACGTGAAACCGTTCAGGGGTAAACCTAAGAAACCCAAAAGATCGAACGGGGAGATTCATCGTCAGCGGCGCTGGCTTCGCGTCGGTCGGCGATGTCCCGCGGAGTCCTTGCGGCTCGCGCGCGGGCACGCTACCGTGCGCCGATGTCCGGCGCTCGTCGTCGTGCACTTCTCCCCAAGTAGAACGTCGCGACCCGCTGGGTGTCGGTCTACGGCCCGGGTGCGGTGTCTGTCGCGTCGCCGGTAAAACGGCACGCGACAAACCCTCGGTCGCCCGGCCGGCTGCTCGGCGGTACGCGCAAGGTATCAGGCCGCACTATTCACGGTGCGTCGAGACCGTCGCAAGCGCGCGCCACGGTACTCGGAGGTTACGGACTTCGCGCCGTCCCCGGTCCTGGCCCGCTGTTGGTTACAGTACGGTACACCTTCGACAGGCCTGCGAACGTCTCCCGCGGTCTCGCGGGAGACCGATACCGGTCGGCGACGCTACTGCTTTGGGTACTCTTAGGACCCGTCTTGAAACACGGACCAAGGAGTCTAACATGTACGCGAGTCATTGGGACTTGTCGCGAGACCTAAAGGCGTAATGAAAGTGAAGGTCGGCCCTGGCCGTCGACCTAGGGAGGATGGGCCGCGTCGCGATGCGGCCTCGCACTCCCGGGGCGTCTCGTTCTCATCGCGAGAAGAGGCGCACCCAGAGCGTACACGTTGGGACCCGAAAGATGGTGAACTATGCCTGGTCAGGACGAAGTCAGGGGAAACCCTGATGGAGGTCCGTAGCGATTCTGACGTGCAAATCGATCGTCGGAACTGGGTATAGGGGCGAAAGACTAATCGAACCATCTAGTAGCTGGTTCCCTCCGAAGTTTCCCTCAGGATAGCTGGCACTCGGCCGTTCCGCACGGAACGCGCGCGAGTCTCATCTGGTAAAGCGAATGATTAGAGGCCTTGGGGCCGAAACGACCTCAACCTATTCTCAAACTTTAAATGGGTGAGATCTCTGGCTTTCTTGAATTATGAAGCCACGAGCATCTTCGGATCAGAGTGCCAAGTGGGCCATTTTTGGTAAGCAGAACTGGCGCTGTGGGATGAACCAAACGCAGAGTTAAGGCGCCCAACTCGACGCTCATGGGACACCATGAAAGGCGTTGGTTGCTTAAGACAGCAGGACGGTGGCCATGGAAGTCGGAATCCGCTAAGGAGTGTGTAACAACTCACCTGCCGAAGCAACTAGCCCTGAAAATGGATGGCGCTGAAGCGTCGAGCCTATACTCTGCCGTCAGCGGCAAGTGGGGCGGCAACCGGGAGCGGGCGTTAGTCTTCTCTCGCGTCGTCACGAAGCCCTGACGAGTAGGAGGGTCGCGACGGTGAGCGCAGAAGGGTCTGGGCGCGAGCCTGCCTGGAGCCGCCGTCGGTGCAGATCTTGGTGGTAGTAGCAAATACTCCAGCGAGGCCCTGGAGGACTGACGTGGAGAAGGGTTTCGTGTGAACAGCCGTTGCACACGAGTCAGTCGATCCTAAGCCCTAGGAGAAATCCTATGTCAATGACGGCGTACAATATACTCGAGTGTCGAGAAATAATAATAAATATTATACGAAAGACACACGCCCGTCGGGCGAAAGGGAATCCGGTTCCTATTCCGGAACCCGGCAGCGGAACCGCATACAATTCGGGCCCTCGTAAGAGTGTTCGTCGGGGTAACCCAAAATGACCTGGAGACGCCGTCGGGAGATCCGGGAAGAGTTTTCTTTTCTGTATAAGCGTTCGAGTTCCCTGGAAACCTCTAGCAGGGAGATAGGGTTTGGAACGCGAAGAGCACCGCAGTTGCGGCGGTGTCCGGATCTTCCCCTCGGACCTTGAAAATCCAGGAGAGGGCCACGTGGAGGTGTCGCGCCGGTTCGTACCCATATCCGCAGCAGGTCTCCAAGGTAAAGAGCCTCTAGTCGATAGAATAATGTAGGTAAGGGAAGTCGGCAAATTGGATCCGTAACTTCGGAATAAGGATTGGCTCTGAGGAGCGGGGCGTGTCGGGCTTGGTCGGGAAGCGGGTCTGGCTGACGTGCCGGGCCTGGGCGAGGTGAACGGTCGGCGTTCTCGCGCCGGTCCCGGGATCCGAGCTCGGTCCCGTGCCTTGGCCTCCCGCGGATCTTCCTTGCTGCGAGGCTTCCGTGGCGGCGCGAGCCGTCGTGGTCGTCCTCTTCGGCCGCCATTCAACGCTCAGCTCAGAACTGGCACGGACTAGGGGAATCCGACTGTCTAATTAAAACAAAGCATTGCGATGGCCCTCGCGGGTGTTGGACAAAAAATTGAAATCTGTCTGTCAGTCCCCTTGTCCATACCGCTACGTATCACGTGTACTTACATACACGCGCTCGATCTCACAAACACGCAAGGCAAGCCGATACCCCTCCTCCGAACCAAAATATTATCGAGTTGTATCCTTCGATATACATTGTCGGTCAGAACAGTCAGTCTGTATGGATTCTTGTCGAGAGCGTTTCTCTTAATAAAGAACGAATTTATCGAAACCTTTCCTTTTCTCGAGTCTCAACATCCGACGTCTCCAGCTAAAGTAACAGTTCGGTTTATAACGGATAGTACGTAAATCGTTTTCAAGTGAAAGTTTATTCATGGTCCTTCGAGCCGGATCGCCGAAAGTTCGTCGCGAGTGACTTTCTCGGCGAAAAATCCACCGGAAATTTGAGACTCCTCAAGAATCGTATCGAACATTAAAAAAGGTCGCATCAGTACCTCCGAAAGGAAATAGCGAGTGCAGTTTCAGTGTACGCCACCTCCGTACCGAAAAAGGGTATTTAGTGTGAGATCCCTATTCGAACCCCAACTGATTCGTCCGAATAATGGCCTCGATCGAGAAGATCATGGAACGTCAACACGTCCTATTCGGCCTTATCACGCGTTCGGTCGAAAATCTGAAAAACTCGGACCGTCCCGAATAAATCGCGGCAATGTGCAGAGTCGCATTGAAGCATTAAGGGTTAATTGGGATAAATTTCAAGCTCACGACGAGAATCTCTTCACCTCGATCACCCCGAACAAAAGACACTGCCGTACTTCAAAGATGATCTCTATTCCATGTGCGAAGAAGCTTTCATAGACGCACACGGCTACATGCTCAACATCCTCGAAAGCCTAGCTCCACCAGTTCCTCAAAATATATCTGCCGCCGAAGCATCGTTGAGCACATCTACCGGGTTGCGATCTCGACGGCTACCGCGCATCGACATACCGAAGTTCTCAGGCGACTACTCAGAGTGGAGTCACTTCCGGGATCTTTTCACGTCAATTATCATAGACAATTCCGAGCTCTCAGAAATTGAAAAACTCCATTATCTCAAAATGAGCCTTTCTGGCGAACCTTCACAACATCTAAAAAACATCGCAATGACTGGTGAAAACTTCACTCGCGCGTGGGAAAATCTCATCTCTCGATATGAAAATAAACGAATTCTTATCGACGCTCAACTAACGTGCCTCCTCGCGACCCGAAGAATAAAAACAGAAAACGCAGCCGATATCAAACGGCTCTTTGGCGATACTAAGGAAGCCATCGGCGCGCTCGAAACTCTCGGTTGTCCCGTAAAACAGTGGGACCTCATTATCGTTTTTTTAATGGTTCAAAAGCTTGATGCCGAATCGCTGAAGAGATGGGAAGACTCACTAGGAGCCAAAACAGATCCGCCCTCGTTCGCGGACTTCGAGACCTTCCTAATCAGCCGCATCTACACGCTCGAAGCTTTCGAAAGATCGCTGCCTCGAAAACAACAAATAAATTCGTCGACCTCGCGACCTTCAGGCGCACGATCATATATCGCTACCGCGCCGGAACAAAAGTGTGTGTTGTGCGCCGCGGGACACTACCTTTCGTCGTGTTCCAAATATCTAGAGAAGCCATACGACCAACGACGAGGGTTAGTCCTATTGAAGAATCTCTGTTTCAATTGCCTTGGGCCTCATCAGTTAAAAATGTGTCGCAATACAAAACGCTGCCGAATCTGTCGAAAGCAACACCACACAACGTTGCACGCACCGAACAGCAACAGCGATACCGTCGCGAACATAACTCCCGCAGCGTCCATCTCAGCGGCTCAACCAACCGCTCACGCAAGTACTCTTCAAGAAGCAAAGCACACTAACCAGCTCAACATCAACCAATCCCAAGACTATCAAGCTTCAAGCCATCTCTCGCAATCAAGAACCAGGCGTCGCGCCCCTGCTCTGTTAGCTACCGCCGTAGTAAGAGTTCTATCTCGACACGATCAATCATCGCAACTTCGAGCGTTACTAGACCAAGGATCAGAAGTGTCATTCATCTCTGAATCCGCTGCTCAATCACTAAAGCTCCCGCGTCGCTCCGCGGCTATCCCAATTGTCGGTATCGGTGCTCAACGAAACAGCGTTTCAAACGGCATCGTACAACTCCGTATCGCCTCACTGTATGATTCATCGATCTATTTCGAAATTGACGCTCTCGTTTTACCGAAATTGACGCATATATTCCACCCGCTCAACTCGATATAAACAGTGGCCGCATATTCAAAATCTTCAGCTCGCGGATCCAAATTTTGCCACGCCCGGAAAGATTGACCTAGTACTCGGATCAATAGTTTATGCTCAAGTCCTCAAACAAGGTCTTTGCCGCGGACCTATCGGAGCACCCATTGCTTAAAACACAGCTCTTGGGTGGATTTTATCAGGCCCGCTTTCAACTAGTGAAGCCTCCATCGAAGACGACTACTCTCTCAATGGAATGCAATGCTCGCTTGACTCCGAACTGCTCGATCTCTTACACGCTTCTGGTCTCAAGAAGAAATAATCCCTCGACCTCAAGTCCCGCTCACGCCAGAAGAATCTCAATGCGAAACTCATTTCGAATCGACTCACTCTCGCGACATACAAGGACGATTCGTGGTTCGGCTCCCTCTCAAAAGGAACATAAGTGATTTTGGTGACTCTCGCACGTTCGCTCAGAACGCTCTCCTCCGAATGGAACGCCGGTTCAACTCGAATCCGTCCCTCAAATCAGCTTACAGCGACTTTTTACGCGAATACCACGATCTCGATCACATGCGGATTCACAATTCATCCGAAAAGTGTCACCAACGCGAGTTCTTCCTGCCGCATCGCGACGTTACTCGCGAAACTAGCGCGACAACGAAACTACGCGTAGTGTTCAACGGTTCGCAGAAAACGACTCTCGGTTTTTCACTGAATGACGTGCTTCATGTCGGTCCGAAACTGCAAACCGATCTCTCAGACATTCTCATTCGATGGCGCAGACATCAATACGTGTTCGCAGCTGACATCGAAAAAATGTATCGTCAAATTCGCGTTCACGAAGACGACTGGCCACTACAAAAATCCTTTGGCGAAACGACCCGAGTGAGACTCCGCAAGAATATCATCTGTGCACAGTAACATACGGTCTCGCGTGTGCTCCGTATCTCGCTCTGCGTTGCCTGCAGCAACTCGCTTTCGAATCAGATTCTCCGCGGGCGCTTGCTGCCGAAATCTTACGCCGCGATACCTATGTGGACGACGTTCTCTCCGGCGCATCAAGTATATCTGAAGCTAAAACACAGATCAACCAACTAAACGAATCCCTCATAGCTGGCGGGTTCCATCTCAGAAAATGGATCTCCAACGACCCTGAAGTTCTAGCTGACATTCCTCATCAAGATCAAGCGTCATCTCCAATCCTCTCAGTCGACGATCGAACGATACATCATACACTCGGTGTACAATGGCATCAACAATCCGATCGCTTCGTGTTCTCAGCACCATCGCCACCACCAGCTGGATCCCTGACGAAGCGGTCAGTGCTCTCCTTCACTGCGAGCATGTTCGATGGCTGCGCCATCGATCCGCTCGGATGGCTGGCGCCAATCGTCATTGTCGCTAAGATGTTCATGCAAGAGCTCTGGGCAATTCGCCTTGATTGGGATGAAGAGCTTCCCGAAAACCTCAAATCGCGCTGGATCAATTTCACTCAACAACTCGAAAACGTGACAACGATCTCAATCCCACGCTGGGTCGGCATAACTACGTCATCCCTCGCGATCGAACTCCACGGATTCTCAGATGCATCACAGAACGCCATCGCTGCTGTGGTCTATCTGCGCGTCATAAACGAATTCGACGACATCTATGTCACCCTTATCAGCGCCAAAACCAAAGTAGCACCTCTGAAACGCATGACGATTCCGCGCCTCGAGCTCTCAGCTGCCGTAATCCTCGTCCAACTAGTATTCAAAATTCGCAACGTGCTCCAAATTCATCACACGTCAACTCATCTCTGGACCGACTCTACGGTCGCTCTAACATGGATCAAAGGTCACCCATCACGTTGGAAAGATTTCGTTCAGAATCGAGTCTCTTTCATTCAAGAGCTCTCGAATTCTCGCTGGCATCATGTCTCCGGAACGGAAAACCCAGCGGACCTAGCATCTCGAGGAATACCTCCCCACTCGCTTCCGCATGCTCAGCTCTGGTGGAAGGGACCCTCTTGGCTACAACATCACTCTTCATCTTGGCCATCCCTGACTCCAAAGATCGAATCAACAATAAATCTAGAAGAGCGTCCTGTCTCTTGTACCCTCGCTAACGAAAAACCAGAAGTTGACCTCGGAGATCTCATTGAAAGATACTCTTCGCTCACCTCGCTTCTACGCACCACAGCCTGGCTCCTACGGGCGTTTGAGCGCTTCCGAAAATCCACAGCACATAGACCACATCAAGCGGTCCTGACGCCTTCCGAGTTAGAATCCGCATTACTACTGTGGGTAAAATTAACTCAACAAGCCTACTTTTCGAAAGAATTCCGAACATTGAGACAACAAGCAACTCTCTCCCTCAAGTTCCCTACTGAAGCTCTCTCCTGTCCTAGACGAAACCGGACATCTCAGGCTACGTGGAAGACTTCACTTCTCTCAACTGGAGCCATCAGAAAAACATCCGCTCATCTTACCACGAGATTCTCGACTAACAACGCTCATAATTGATTACTATCACAGGCGCTCATTACACGGCGGACCGCAGCTGACGTTATCGTTAATACGGCATAAGTTTTGGATTATCGGTGGACGAACTCCTATTCGCTCATTCATCCATAACTGTATTACGTGTGCCCGTCATCGCGCCGCCGCCAGTCAACAACTCATCGGACAACTTCCAGCTTCTCGTGTCACTCCATGTCGACCATTCTTCAATACCGGAGTCGATTATGCCGGTCCTTTGACTCTAAAGTCATTCCGCGGACGCGGAGCGAAGACAGTCAAGGGATACTTCATAATTTTTGTTTGTTTTAGTACCTCAGCTGTTCATCTAGAAGTAGCTACCGACTACTCAACTGATGGATTTCTAGCTGCTTACAAACGATTCACCGGACGAAGAGGCCTATGCTCAACAATCACGAGCGACTGTGGGACCAATTTCGTCGGCGCAGCTTCCGAGTTGAAAAAATTGTTCACCGCTTCCTCTAAGGAATGGGCTCACATTGCTAACATTCTCGCCAACGATGGAGTAAAGTGGAGCTTTAACCCTCCTTCGGCTCCACATTTTGGCGGAAAATGGGAGGCCGGAGTAAAATCCGTCAAACATCACCTCCGTCGAGTGATCGGCGAGACCCTGCTCACCTATGAAGAATTGTCAACACTATTGATTCAAATCGAAGCAATCTTGAATTCGCGCCCGCTCTCGGCCCTCTCAGACGATCCTTCTGACTCCGTCGCCTTAACACCAGGACACTTCCTCGTCGGGAACTCTCTCACGGCCGTTCCTGAACCATCCCTCATCGATCTACCTCAAAATCGACTATCACGATTACAAATGCTTCGTCAAATGACAGAATCATTTTGGCGACGTTGGTCGTCGGAATATCTACACGAGCTCCAGACATCATCCAAGTGGCATCGAAAACAAGAAAAGTTTCAAGAGGGCAGCCTAGTAATAGTCAAGGACGAACGCTTCCCTCCGACCAAATGGCCCCTCGCGCGGATAATCGAAACGCATCCCGGCTCAGACGGACTAGTCAGAGTAACTACAGTAAAAACTGCTACCACTACTCTAAAGCGACCGATCGTAAAATTGTGCCTTTTACCGAACGTTACAAAACAGTGAGAATCAAAGGAACTCGACTGACGTTTAGTTGTCATTATGGTCTTGACAAGGCGGGCGGAATGTTTGGACAAAAATTGAAATCTGTCTGTCATTCCCCTTGTGCCATACCGCTACTGTATCACGTGTACTTACATACACGCGCTCGATCTCACAAACACGCAAGGCAAGCTGATACCCCTCCTCCGAACCAAAATATTATCGAGTTGTATCCTTCGATATACATTGTCGGTCAGAACAGTCAGTCTGTATTGGATTCTTGTCGAGAGCGTTTCTCTTAATAAAGAACGAATTTATCGAAACCTTTCCTTTTCTCGAGTCTCAACATTCCGACGTCTCCAGCTAAAGTAACAGTTCGGTTTATAACGGATAGTACGTAAATCGTTTTCAAGTGAAAGTTTATTCACGGGTGTTGACGCAATGTGATTTCTGCCCAGTGCTCTGAATGTCAACGTGAAGAAATTCAAGCAAGCGCGGGTAAACGGCGGGAGTAACTATGACTCTCTTAAGGACTCCGTCCGGGCGACCGGCGGATCCATGTGCCATCCCCACCTCCTCGTGGTAAGAGTCGGGCAACGCTGGCGAAAATTTCGACCGGCGGCCAACGGGGCTCTGGCTTGGCGGGGCGCTTGCGCCTCGCTTGGGTTCGTGGGGTTGCCAGCCCCTCGAGCCGACATACGACAGGCACTTCAAAGGAAAAAGGATATTCTCTCCGGCGGCAGCCTCGGGCCGCCGGTCCTGTCGTGCATTCGTCCTCCTCTCTGAACCCAGCCCTGGTCCTTCGCGACAGCCTCCCGCTGCGGCTCGTCGTCGACAACCGCCCTCGGCTGTCCCTGCCCCTAAGTCCCCGCATGCCTTGCCGTACCCGTGCCCTCATTGCAATCGCGCGTTCAGCACCAAGAACGGACTCGGTCTTCATCGCCGTCGGGCGCACGAGGCCATATACAACGAGGAAATTAACGTCGAGAGGGTGAAGCGCCAGTGGAGCGCTGAAGAACAGCGCATGATGGCGAGGGAAGAGGCCTTGGCGGTTTATCGAGGCGTTCGGTTTATCAACCAACATCTGCTCACCGTTGTTCCGAACCGCTCCCTTGATGCTATCAAGGGTATGCGGAAAAACGGTGGGTACCGACGCCTTGTTGCCGCCGCTCTGGAGGATCTGTCCGCCACGTCGGGAGATAGTTTTTTTCTTTCCGCTGGTGGATCCAGTCCTTCGGCCTCCCCTCAAGCGTCAGCCATCTCTCCGCGTGGGTCACCAGGCTCGCCTCCGCTTTCACCATCTTCTCCCGGCTGGGGCGATGCGTATGGCACATTTGCCGGCGCTATTCGAGCATTAGTCCCAGTCGTGGAAGCCATCCAGGGATGGAGTTCCCGCGTCCTGACTCAGATTGGGTTAGGAGTGCTGG